ACTTTAAGAATTAGTCTTGTTCAATAAAAAGTCACCTCATGTAAATTAAACTTGAAAAGAAGTGTATCCCATTCTGACCTCTTCTCCGATCTTGGACTTATTGTTTCATTTCTGTGAAGTTTTGTTCGTGTCTGAGGTTGCGCCACATGCCCCCTGGTTGGAGTGTTATTCATTCCTTAGTTCTGTTTGTATTTCTGCCCATACTCTTAAAACCACTTACTCCTGAATTCACCAGAGTTGAGTACTTTAGACTTGTTGAGAAGTCCCTCCTCCTCCCTCCATATGAAATGTGACAGTGACTGAAACTGGTTGTCCTTGCAGCCCCAGGATGCCTCTCCATGTTGACCTGAAAGCTCTTTCCCAAGAGGGCCTGAGACTTGTCCCTGATATTGACAGATGGTTCAGAATGCATCCACTTTTCAAGGTAATGCATTAAAAGTCAGCTTATGTAGAACTCCCTTAGGTATAGCTCCCTCATCAGACGTTTTGTGTCTTTGGGAGCAAGGATGAGTTTCATTTACCTTTATTGGCCCAGATACTACCTAGTATATGGTAGAGACTCCACTGTCATTGCAATGCATTGACAGAACTTTTGGGGGACACCCTCCTCGAACCTTGATATAAATGTGTAGGAGCTCTTTATACAATACCTTTCTCGAGTGCGCTACTCATTGTGTGAACTATTTTAATTAAAAACCAAGCCTAATTCAGAAATCATTTAGTGAAGAGCAACTCCAAAATATGGCAAAAATGTCATCCCATTTATTTATTCTATTCTAGACATAAATCCTTTCTTTTTGAAGCCTAAAGTACTCTATCGATTTATCTATTTTTTTTATTTTTAAGAAGTAACTGTGTCTTACATACTTTCCTAGTGAAAATGAAAAGACCAAATATGGATTATATTAAATATGTTTGGCCTGTGTCCCTATCATTAGGCCAAGCTCATGACAGGCAAATGAAGGAAATGGAGTTTCCTCCTCTAAATTCTTGCAACTGGTCACTAAATGATATTATTGGTTCTTTTCATATGCATCCAATATTGTTACTGTTTCTGTACCTGCAAGGTTTTCTCCAATGAGATAATCTATTGAGGGGCCTCTTGGTCTGGGGCCTACTATATGGTAGGCACGTATAGAATATAGAAAATGGAAGGGATGAAGTACTAACTTTCATGACAAATTTCCCCTTCTAAGAAGCAAAATGAAGAAGTTTTAGTAACAATGGTGGTAGTACACACTGAAGGCTTTGCCTTTTTAAAAATGCCATGGTTTGCATCCATTTTGAGTGTGTTCCCCAAGGGTTCATGTCTTGGGAGCTTGGGCCACTGTGCGGTAGATGTTAGGTGACAGAACATTTAAGAGATAGAGCCTCCTGGGTGGTGGCTATGTCTTTGGGGCCCTGCCCTTGGAAGAGGTTAAGGTAGTTCTCAGGGGACCCAACGGAGTTCCTGTGAGGGTGGGTTGCTATAAAAGAGCAACACTCTACACTTTCTGGCTTCCTGTGTCACCAAGGGATTTCTTCCACACTGTGGAGTCCTCTGCTGTGACGCTCTCATCTGGAGACCAAATCAGTGGAGCCACTGATATTGAACTTTTGACCTCCAAAACTGTGAGCTAAATAAACCTTTTCTTTTATAAGGTCTCCAGCTTCAGGGATGGGACTAATTCTCGCATAATTCATAATCAGTGATTGAAGTGTAAAGAGGACCTTGAGCTTGGTGGAATAATTCTGACTTTGCCAGTGGCTTTTATAGAATTAAATAATTTCTACTTAGAAGAAATTCTGTGGCTTTTTTATTCTTTTTATTCTTTTCATCAAACTTCTGAATTTCTCTCCAAATGTTACTTTAAGGTTAACTTGTATATCTGTTACTTCTCTTACAAACTCTGTATTTGCTAGCCTTAAGCAAAGACTCTGTAATTTTAAACCACAGTCTGTTTTTCCTTTATAGTTCTTCTATGGGTGTCTCTGTAGAATTCAATGTCAGACTATGAAAGCTGAGTTATGGGCAGCTGATTTAAGGGTGTAATACTTAAAGAACACACTTTATGTCAGTGGGTGCACAAATGTGGCCACACAATATGCAGAGGGTGCAACAAAATGACTTGTGAATGTCTCCCTCTTTGACATGTTTTGACCAAACTTTATTACTCGTTTAATGGAATTGTGACAAAGAGTAGGAATCAAAACACAGGGGGATCACAGAGGCTGTTATGTTTATTGTGCAGAACAGACAGTGATAATCCACTAGAGAAATATTTTCAACAAGCAAGCGATTCAAAGTACAATCATAGACAGCAATTCTACATGAAGAACAAAGAATAAAGTTAGAAGACACTCAAAGGAACAGGGAGAAAGTCAACTGCAGTTAACGTCTTGATATTTTTCTCCTGCAAACATACCTAAATTGCAGAAATGGTAGAAAAGTTAAATGTCCAGTCTTATATAGCTGCGACCAACAACAGCAAAGAACAGTCCTATAAAATTTATCTCCCACAAAAATAAACTATATATATAAAAATTTTATGATGTTCTTACTGTTCCATTGGCCACCAGCTTTTTTTTTCAGTATGAAAAATGAGGTATACTGGGACTTAAGAGGTAGTAGTGTGTTTTGATTGTACAACATACAGGAAATAAAAGAGTAACTTCATCAGAGATGGAACTCACTCGGTGCTCCGAGTTTGGCCAGCACGAGCAAACTGCTTCAATTTTATGAACTGGCCAACGAGGTTTCTAAAAGGCCCATCCAGAGATAGTGAATGGACTTTGTTTTTATGAGCCACTATTTATTGAATGCACAGTTAACAGTAAATGTTGAGTTTTAATTCTCTCCATAGCTCCTTTGGTGATTCACGACAGTGAGCAATCTGCCAGTCTCAGGGAGGTCTAAAGCCTTTGCAGCTACCTCCCTGAAGTGGCTGGAAGAGAGATGGTTTTGAGTTTCATTTGGCTTCAGTACTAAAAGCCATACCGACACAAACCGTCATGAGAAACTACCTCCTGGCCCAGTTGATAATACCATGTTCAAAATCAGCACACTCACAAGGAGAGAAAGGCATAAAAACTCTACACAAGAAGCGTTTAAAATACATCTGATTGAGACATATTACAAAAATCACATTTGTGTAAAATACATGAAAATATCTGTCAAGCATTTTCTTATATTCAACTAATCTCAAAAACACATATTTTGATTGCATTATGCAAAAGCTGAGCCTGTTGCATCTCACCTACAAAGCTTCAAGTTTCTTTGAAGGTTGGTTTTATTTTTTTATTTATTCCTTTATTTTTTGCAAAAGTATGTAAAAATGCATTCCTTTCTATCAAATGTTTTACAAAAATAGTTTTGATTAAACATAGCTGCAGTCTGAACTACTTCAAACATTGAGAAAAAAATGAATGCTGCAAAGTAACGAGTTCATTCCTTTTGAAGTCTGGAGGTAGGTTTTTGCAAGTCAATTAGTCCATTTGCTTAAACAATTCATTTGAGGTACAGACTTAGAGGGTAACCTTTAAACATTACAGTCAAATTCTGTGTGATGTGTACTGTGATCACGGAAGATCATCTTTAAGAAGCTAGGAGCGACTTGGTTAAAAAATATTCAAGTTAACGTAGAAATCTAGCAGAGAAGCTGAAACAAGTATTTGTAAAATTTTAACTAAAAAAAATAGAAAAATACATAGCCATGCTGAAACACAGTAAGGAGACTGTTTCTATAACTGTATCAAAGTGTACAAAAAGAACTGCAGATGATGAGACTCACCTACCCAGTACGTTTTTTTCTTGCATTGCTTGTGTATAGCAGCATGTAATAAGTACTAGACTGTAAATTCATTGTAACATTCAGAGGTAGTATTGAGTAGTGGGGATATATTGCATCTCTGGCTAAAAGTGCAGTTTGAATGAAGGGATGGTGAACGGAAGCCAAAATAAAGCACCACGGTCAACCATCTTATGTCAAAACGTATTACTTGCAGTAACACATAAGCTTAATGTGAGGTAAGTGGTATTTAGGTCTTTCAAAGAAAACTGATAACACAATGAAAAGAGAGAAAGACTGCCTTTTTTTTTTTTTTTTTTTTGCTTTTTTAAATTGTTGCCTAACTATAGCAAAAAGAAATGTAGATTTCGCGCGCTCCTCCCACCTCCTCATTCAGGTGAGTTTATCATGCATTAATTCTGTTGTACCTTTCCATCAAGTTACAAAGAGGATACTTTTCCTTGTCTAGGTTCCTTAAATGCTCTGAGGTTGACAAGTGTCACTTATCGCTAAGTGACATTTGGCTCTGTAGGAAGTGGATTTCCTGAAAACAAAGTGTTGTCCTGAACACGAGTGCTACGAGTAAATTTATTACTCCTGCTGATATGTGTGGTATCCATAAATACGGGAGTTGGCAACGTTTGTTTGCTTACTTCCCTTTTTGAAAAAAAAAAAAATGAACGTAACCTTTTCTGGTTTGTTAGCTGAGTGAAAGGATACATCAGCATTTCGTCTCATTTAGAAATAAAAAACAACAACAACAAAAAGTTAAAAAAATCATCAAGTAAGTGTCTACAAGATTATACGAAAAGGAGAGTAGAATCTAGCCCTTATCTTTGGCGTTCTAAATGGGATTCACTACGGCGAGCGGGTGGGCTGGGACTGAGGTGTGCCCGGTGTCACACACCGCGCTTTTCCTATATGAATGCCCAAGGTCACGAGCGTGACTCGCTTCTTGTTTGTGTGCAGTGCAGTGATTGACTAAACCCAATTCAGAGCTTCTCTCACCCACCCACTCTTGCTTATGGGATCAACAAAACTATTAGTAGGTTAAGAATAAAAAGAAAACAGTAATTAAAAGTTGCATTGTTAAACTGTGTCCCCTGTGTTTACAGCAGTTTTTCACTAAACCTGGGACTGTGAAGGGATTACAAAGAAGGTGATTAATATAGTCCTTTTCAAGGTTACGTGACTTCTCCCCGCCCCTCCCCGCCCCCGCCCCGCGCCCGCCCCGCCCCGCCCCAGAGGAAAGTGGAAAGACCATGGCAATAGAGAGTAAGTGGTCACTGCAGTGTCTTCTCCCTTCAAAAGATCCAACTGCTGCTGAGGTAGAAATCCAACGGCGGCGCCCCCTAGTCCTCTTCGGCAGACTCCTGTGAGGACGTCTCTTCCGTCTCCTCCTGCAACACACAAAGTGCACAAGCCTGAGACGCCACCCTTGGCCCTGGGGGGGCTATGACCCTGCTTGCACAGCACACGATTGGCCTCTTAACGCCGTCATTGAGGAATCAAGGTGTTGTTTTTTCCCAGAGTGCTCATTAGCCGCTGTTGACTTAGCGCTTGACAGCATGGCGGCTGGTCAGCAAATTCAATTGTCCGCAGCCCGGGGAATGTCAGGCCCATGTCAGCTTACTCACCCACTGGGCTACAAACGAAATGGATAAATTTTTTTCCCGACAGCAGGCCAGTCATCACTTTGAAAACCCGGCATACAAGCAAGAATAATATAGCTAGGGCGTTCCTCTCTTGAGGTACAAAGAAATCCAGCTCTCAGACAAAAACTATTTTTCCCCCTAAATGGTGTTTACTAGATGCTTGGAAGGACTGCCTGCTCTGATTCCTGTTTTACAGATGAGAAAACCAAGGCCCCGAGCAGCAGCGTGCCGGAAGTCCCAGGGCCAGGATTTGAGCCGAGTCAGGCGGGTGCCAGAACCCGCGTGTGACCGCCACGCTCTGCGCAGGGGCGGCCAGGGAGCAGGCGCCGCCGCCGAGAGAGCCCGGAGAGCCGGCTGCGAACTTCCTTTCCAAACCTATTTCCTCGTTCCCGTATTTATTAAAGCACATTTTGAGACAATGACCGAAGTTTGGCGTAAGTGCTCAATCTCAGCACTAAATCCGCATTGGCCAAACATTTAATGGTGGGCCAGCCAAGCAAAGAAAATCTAATATATATGTTTTTGCAGGGCCTCCTCTTCATATAAACCTTACTCCTCCTTTTCTTTCCCCTTTTCTGATTCCTTATGGCTCTGGAATTTGTTGGGGTTTCTGCAAGGCGGCTTGAACCGCAGAGTTCTCTTTCCTTTTGCTTATTTAACAAATGTGCAGTACCTTTCAGGACATGGGTGGTAAAGCGGAGACAATAAACATTTCTGATAAAAGCGTCGTTAGGGAGAGGATGATTTTTATCAAATGCTGCATGCTGTCTCCTAAAACGGCATGTGAAAAAGATCTGGGAGAAGAGGTAAACATTTACTCCTGCAGCAAACGAAGCCCCTTCAAGAATGGCCAGCTTACAACAGCTTATAACAGTCTTCATACTTTAATAGATTTGATTTTCCACATGGCTTCGTTTTGTCTGGGTGGCTAACTGACACAATTTATACCTCCCTTCCTTCCCCAGGTCACTACAGTACACCATTCAGTAAAGCATGCCTTAAAGCTTGTCTGCATTATATGACCAAACTTCCATTCATTAGTGTTTGAAACACTTCAGCTGTGAAGGGGCTCCTAAATGCTACCATGTGTGACGCTTTTGCGTAAAAGCAGCAAACCGGAGGGGAAAAAAAGCCCACAGGAACCGGCACTCACACACTCACATGAGCGGTGGTTCGCACGCGTGCGTGCACACACACACACACACACACACACACACAGAGGCTCCTACAGACTCTATCCTGGGCTTTAATCACAGGCCACTGTTTCCTGCAAGCCCTTTGCAAAAGGTTTCAAACATTCTCTTTCCCCCAAAGACTGAGAGAGCTGTAAATCCTGGGAATAAACACACATACAAATGAATGGATTACAGCTTAAAAAATAGAACCAGAACAGCACCAAGTCATGAGCTTTCACACCGGTTTTGTTTAGTCTGCTTTGGGTTTTGTGGGAAATGTGGAACGTATGAAGCTAACTCCCCTCTACCCCCAGCCCCCAAAACTGCAGGCCTCCCATATTTAAGCAGCAGGTTTATACCTCTTGACTAGGCAACAGGTCATGACCCTGAGATCCTCTGTGGAGTCCCGGCCACAGAGGGGACGCAGCATGATCAAAGCCACGGACAGACAAAAGGGAGTGGAGCCAGGGATCAGCTGCCCTGTGACATTGTCTTCTCCCGGAACATTTAAATTCCAGAAAGTCACTAAGCGGTTTGGCAGATACACTCTTCATCCACCCCCAAATGACTCACTCCTCATTATGACATGAGAGGTGCGGACACGGGTATCTACTCTGCATCAGAATACAGCACACAAGCCGGCAGGTATATTTTCCTCTTTCTCATGGTTAACAAATTAATAGAACTCCGCCGAGCTGAGCAACCTCCTGGGTCTAGCTGTGATTCTCCTATATTATCTGGAAACCAAGGTACTTTCAAATCCGGTAGGAAATAGAATTTTCAGGCCATGAACTTACAAAGACCTTGTGCTAGATGGAATGTGATCAGCTTCTCAAAAACATTCTCAGAAACTCTGCTTGATCTGAGCCCGGAGAAACTTCTGAGACCCAAATTGTTTAGACACAACTCAGCTGCAAATGATGGAGCTGCATTTTGTTTTCTTACTTAACAGTAAGGAAACGTGCATAGTTGTTTTATTTATGTGTCTTTCTGCTGGCCTTGAAATTCTTCTACTAGTAACTATCAGTTAGTACTGGGAACATAACCAGGATGTCAGGAGTGGGAGTCTCACTCCGTTAAACTTTCGGTGGCAATGAGCTCTCACACACTCGGCCTGATGGTTCTCTCATCCAGTTAAGGGAGAGCTCGCTCTCTTCTTGGCATAGCTCCGACTGGCCACCCTCCAAAGGAAGGCATGGCTGCCAAGCGGATGACGCTGGCTGGGTGGGTGGCACTTCCCACCTCTGAAAACCTCAATTCTCACCTCTCCAGTGACTTGGCCTTCTGCTACATGTGTGGCTGCTGTGCCACAAATGTGTGTGCAATGAAGTGAAGACAAATCCTCCCTGTCAGGAATGAAGATGAAGTTGGAAAACCCACTATGAGCTATCCTATGTGTTCCGGTCTGGCCACACTTCACACTGCACGGACTGCACAGACACAGGTGATGTGGGGAATAATCAGCCGACTCTAGTGTTCCCAAAAGAATCTTGCTTCCATAGATAAGTAATGAGTAGGGACTCGGGGCCCCTAAGCCTCAATCCTTTTGAGTAGCTTAGAATATAACATGGCCATGTATTGCAGACAATAGCTTGCACCAAGAGATGATTTTTGAAAGTTGTATAATGTTTGCAACATGGAGCAAAGGATCTTTGAACCTGTTTAGCTACCCACAGGCAGCCTTGAAGTAATAAGAAGATTGAAGCACTGTAGCCAAGAGTTTTACACATCTCATTAGGAGCGAGTTGATGGGGTGGGAAGGCCAAACAGCAGCTCTCTGGTCAAGAAGACTTACCTGTTGGAATGGGCTTCAGGAATGTTACGATAAAAGGACTTTTCAGAGTGGAAGTGCACAGTGACACTTTTATGAGCACCAGCCACTAAAACCTCTAAACACTGAACAGCTCCCAGCCATTCATGCAGCTACTTTGCAAAGACAACGGAGGCTGCACCACACCAGGGTGAAATGGGAGGTTTTTTGGCAGAAAACTGATGAAAGGGGAAAAGTGAGTGGGCAGAGTTGGAGAAACACACACACATACATAAAATAACTATTGGAAAACTGCATTCATTTTGCCTTACTTTTTCTTTTGTTCGTGAAAAAACAAAATTTAATAAAAGTCACTTTCATTACTTTAGTCAGCTTAAAAGAAAACATAACAGCACTGAAACCCAGAAAAATGGCTTGCATGTATCACCGTTCTTTTCATCTGGCTTAGTGTGATACATGTGGTATATACCTTTAGGGACACTTAGACTAAGTAATTAAAAAGGAGGAAGAAGATGGCCTAATGTCTAACCTTAACTTCTAATGCTTGTTGGAATTTTCAAATGTCTTGAGTTTAATCATAGGTCTTACCACACAGGCACGTGTGAGGGTGTGGGCTGGAAGGAAGTGCAGAATGCAAAAGCTGAGGCTCTGGGTTTAATTTCCAAATGCAGACTAAACAGCAGGTCTGCAGTGGGAGAGAGCCGGCAATGGAATCGCTCTCCCTGCAAACCCTGCGGAGGTTGTGTCGCCGTGATGCCCCTCTGTGTAGAGTAAGGTGTGCAAAGCACAGAAACCCAGGTCAGCTTTAATAAGTGCTTCTGTTTTTGAGTTGACTCCAATTAATTCCGTAATCCTTTATTATATAATGCTACAGACTAGAACTATGTCCAATTGTAATTTAAGTTAGCTTGCTGATGAAACTACTCATTCGGGGTAATCTAGAAAGGATAGTTTCAGTTGACGGACACTCTTGTTGTCATCTTAGTAAGTCCAACTGCTTAACGACTGATAATGACACATTCATGAAGATCCTGAGTTGGTCCTGTCAGAGCTGAAAAAAAGGGCTTTCTTCCTTCTCCACAGCAACGACCAGGAACCAATTTTTCAAGTTCCATCTGCAGCTAAGTGACCCGCAAGACCACAAAGCCAAGTTTTTCTACTTCTCTGTCAGATATTTTAATTTAAAATGGATTGGGGCTGTTTAACTTCATGGAAAGTGATTATTTCCTCCAACTAGGAAAACTTTGTAGCAGATTTTTAAAAACATGTTAAATGGAACATATACAAACCATATAACCTGGCAAGTGCAAGGGATTCTAGAGGAAATGCTAAGAGGGAAATATGTTTTTCAAAAGAAGACTTGAGAAGTTGGGACATTTACATTTGTACTTGATCTTTTACACACACACATACACACACACATACAAGTAGCAGGCTTACCAGCTGTGCATTACTATTAACTTAGTAAAGTTGGTTTTAAGATCTTAATGCGGGTGCATTTAATATAAAGAAAGTCGGTCCTATATGCCACTGCGCACACGTGCCTTTAATGGGTTGAGTAACCTGTGCCTTAGTCCCACTGAGTCTGACACAGTCACAGGAAAACCCATGTGCAACACTGCAGGGTTGTGTGACAGAAAAAAAAAAAAAAAAAAAAGAGAAAATCACATGAGAAAACTTTGAAAAAAAGGGTGGAGCTATGATTGTTAATTTCAGTTACTCCTTCAGTGTTTATTTCTTTACCTGTGATTCAAAGATTCTTAAGCAAAAAGCTGTTATGAAACAATGTCCCCCCAAAA